CATAATTTTCTTTGACGTGTTTCAATCTATACAATTTTCTACTTGATTACCATTTTAGAAAATTTCCAAACTTGTGGCACTCTTCAATTTATATGGTATTTGTCTATACGGGATTCAATTGTCACACTTGAAACAATGTTCCTAGTTCTGAGAATCTATTGGGGGAAGATCATGTAATGTAAGTACATTTCACTGCAAAAAAATGGGGAGATGAGTTGTTTTTCCAATATTTATTTCATATCTGTCAATATTTATTTCATATCTGTTTTGTAATCTGATTGATTAATGTTGCTTTAAGATATATATTGAACTGTGATTCATTTCTAGGGAGGTGGACAAGAGAGTTGTTGATCTTCCAGAGATCAGGGAAACAGGAGAATATATTGCAGAGTTAAAGCTTCACCCAGAAGTTACAGCTAGAGTGAAGTTGAATGTTTCTGCCAACTAAAAGCACAAATATTTTCTGAAGTTCCTTTGCTAAATGGACAATTTGGAGCTAGTTACCTTTGTTCAAGGTGCATAACCATCTTATGATGATGAATCTTGAAGCTTCAAGCAGTCTGTAATCTTGTAATCATGCCCTGACTCTCGGATGAGGAAGGGTTTGTCATAGGTCCAAAATGAGAACTGTCTCTGATTTGAACATTTTTGTTCTGTTCATACCCCATTCTTGAATGTTTATTCATTTTTAGGACAATGCAATGCACTATGTTGGTGGTAAAGGCTATTTTTTCTTTGATCTTTCCTTGGTTTTGTGAGCATGAAAATGGAATATAAAACGAATCCATTGTTTTTCTGCACTTGATTCAATGATCATGTTTACATTCCAGTGTGAATGAAGGCTTTTAATTTCTTTGGAGGCCACTGAAAGATTCAGCATTTATTTTTCCTGTTGGAGGAGAAAAACAAAAATGTAGAAGATTTCCATTTAGTGTGCGGCTAACTTATTGACAAAGAAATTGTCTATGTTGTTATGAACACCCTGTAAAATTTTGTCAACTCTATTGAAATGAAGTTAAAAAGGAATGTTCTTCAAAGTTTAAATTGACAATCACATTTGTCTTAGGTTAAAAGAAATTTGGCAAAAAAGGTAATGAATTGACTAAAAGAGAAAAAACAGTAAAATAAAAAATCAATGTTGCTGCCCAGGATCGAACTGGGGACCTTCAGTGTGTAAGACTGACGTGATAACCACTACACCACAGCAACTCGGTTGAAAATGTATTCAATAAATAAATTATTATAATAAACTTTTTTGACATTTGAAGAAAGAAATTGTATGGATTTATTGTATTCATCACAGTGTAGCTTGCAATTGCACAACTGAATCATGTGTTTTTCAAAATTTATTTTTATATTAACTTTATTTGTTAGCACCAATAATAAATACATAAGGTGTACGACAAAGAAAATGCCCAACAAGAAATAACTCATTTCATGTTTCATTCTCATGAAATATACATTTAAAAAGTTGAAATATAAGGAAACACATACAGGCAATATACTCTTTTAAATGTTTTTCTTTGTTGATTAACATTTATTAAACATCACAAAGTTTTATAGACTTGTTCTTACTTGATAATGGATACCACTCATAATTTTACAGTTTCTAATAAACTTTAATCAATAAAAATACGTCAGAGAATATGATATAAAATATATCACAAATAAAAACAGTTCTTTTAAAGGAAAAAATGATTTTTTTTTTCATTTTTACAATCTATTAGGTTATAACCTACAAACCATGGAAATTGGTTTGCTACCCGTGATGGTGGTTTTTTGTAAATCTATCTGATAAGAAATTTAGGGATTGAATCAAATTCTTATGTGATTACTTTAGTTTACAGGTTCATGGTTTTAAGAATAAAATGCATAAAAAAGAGTTATAAACAAAATAGAAAAATTCAATAGAAATAGACAAATAAAAGAATAAAAAAGAATGAAAACAAGAAAGGAAAGGATAATTTTTTTTACTAGAAAATCCATTCATGTCAAAAATACTCTATATACCTTAAACCAAAACACCCTTTTTATATTAAAAAAATTATAATTAATCATCATAATTAGTTTTATTGACAAATCTAACTTAAGATTTAATTACACTTAAAACTCCTCTACCAAACTTAACGTGTATAATCGTTCAACATTTGATAAAGATTGTTGTATTGAAGTTAGATATTTTAAAATCGAATAACTCACCATTATTATTCAAAAGTAACAAGTCTATTTAACATAGTACATTTAACACCTACAAAGTATTTTTTTTATGTATGTCATTTGTCTTTAATCAACCGACACAGATTTTTACCACAACAAATATCTTAACACCAACCAACAAGGCTTCTTGGAACATTATAAAAATTTCTGCCAACTGAAGGAGAAAGAAAAAGTAGCTTACGTTAAATTGGTAAATATCCTTAATTTTGTCAACAATATGTCAAAATCTGTTCAACAGTCATTCTCACTTCTAGTAACTTAGCTTTTGCAAAAGCTAACCTAACCCCAAACCAAGGAAGTGGATCTTTAGAACATATTCCAGAAAGAATGAAATGAAATGGCACTATTTGATTAATGAAAAAGAAGATGCACACCAAACACCGATTGGCATCTTAATCAAGGGTTTTGGTTGTGATATTTGGAAACTAAACCTTGCTTATGGTCAAGACTCAACACCAATAGGGTATTAATTAAGCAATTGATTAATGGTGTGGAAATTAATTTAAGATTAGCAAGCAACGACACACAGAATTTATGGCCGGCCAAATGCCTACTTTTCTGGTTATGGCCACAACCAGCCACATAGTAAACCAACTCATGCATTTGAGACATTTGTCTCCATCACCAAAAACCTTCAACCAATGTTACTCTAACACACATCTTATTGAAAAGAAAATTACGTCTAACAAAAAAAAAACTAAGAGAGAAATAAGAAAGTTTAATAAAAAAAGAGATTTAAAATTGTTTTAAGATTTTAGATTAAAAATTTAAATATAATAGTATAAACACATTTATACACTCGATACAGAAAAAATTATATTTAAGATTTTTTTACTTATATTGAACTTATCAATTACTAAAATGAAACATTAATTGGGAATGCAAGTCTGAGTCCAAATTCTATATTGGATAGAAATAAGAATGTAAAGCACTACTATACAAAGATGAAATACCTATTAACTCATTGTTTTAAGGTTTTTGTTAGAAAATAGTGTTAATCTCTTATGTAGTTAGACTTAGATCTTATTGATGTTGTATCTCCTCTTCTTTAATAGACCGAGTCATCCTTAACATAAAATTTACTCATTTATATTCTCAACATTTAATATTTTATGTGAATTGAATTAATATTTCAGTATTGTCTAATCTCACTGATTAAGATTAATCCTCTCGTGGTAACAAACCACGCAATAAGACAATGCATGAACAACTATAGATCAGTTAATTTTCTCATTCTTTTTCACCAAAAGGACATTGACATCTCAGCAGATACCACAGTTATGTCTGGTAATCGAGAATGGCCATTTGGAGTAAGTTAGGTAGTCAAGTGAAATTTGTACACAACCCCATGATCTCCTTTTGGGAAATCATCTCACATACAGAATAAAAATACGTTTTTTTTTTCTACATTGAAGAAACATTGCCGAAACGCGTATTACAGTGTCATAAGTTGCGTGAAGAGAAATGAAAATTGGGCGTTGAGAAAGCAAGCAAAGTAATTGTTTGTGATATAGGAGAATATAATAATACGATGAATAAAGTAGAGTTATACACAAAGGAGAATATAAATATAAATAAAAAAATATAAAGTAGAAGGTTATTAGATTAATTTATAGGACATGGAGGGAACATCTCCAACTACATGTGCTAATGTCAATGAGTGATATGTTGTTATGCATTCGGACACCTCACGCAAAGTACGTGTCCACATGCTTCGCTTACCACCATTCACCTAAACGTGCACATTACTAACTTTAGATAAGTGCCCACTCAAACTCACTTAAAACTCTTCTATCTCTCTCTTTCATTTGCTTGATTCAACTTTTATCTCTCACTCTTTCGTTAATACTATTTTCCGTGGAAGAGAGAAACTGAAATTGTTGTCACTCACCCTGTCTTTTTCTCATCTTTGCTTATGTGAACTGCATAAATAATGCTTAAGTTTTGTAGCTACAAAAGAGTAGATAAAGAGTAGTAGTACTAACGAGTGGGTGATGGGTCCAACTCCAAACAGTGACCATTCGTACAAGTCCTAATCAAATGCACTTGTGGCTTCAAAGTTAATAGTATCTTTCTTCCCAGCATCAACTTTCTATTCTATGGGCTCAAAACTTCCATGCCATAATCTCCAAACCCATTATTAAATAATCATTGTATACGTGTGTTCAAATTTTAATATACAGAGAACAAATTAGTTTGTTAGTTAATTAGGTGAAAGATATTAGTTTGAAGCGACTATTGGCAAAACAGTTGTGGGGAGGATGAGATTAACATATATAGTAAGATACATTATAGTGTATTTTTTTAAGTAAGAGTAAGTGAGAGAGTGGGAACCATGTAAATTGAAAGATACATGGTGATGGGCATGCATATGGTAGAGGCATATTTATCAAACAGTTTTGACAAATCCTTTATTCTCTTCATTAATGAAAGGAGTGGGAATGGGTAGTGAGTGTGAATGAGAAAGTGATGTTTTAGCTTTATTGTAATGAAATCCAAAACAAGTAAAGGAACCTAATCCACCACTTTTGATTATGGTTATGGTTATTGGTCATGGTGATGCCAAAACCAAACCCTAGCTATAGCAATGCCAAAGCACTCTCTCTCGCACATCGCCCTCGATTATCCCCTCAAAGAAGAACTTGCAAATACACCCAAATAAAATAAATAAATAATTCAATTAATTGAATAAAAGATGCCCTATGAACTATCACTCACTTTTCGTGAATGAAAGGCAACCACATCAACACTAACCACTTACTTACTCAAAGTATTCCAACTTGAACAAGTAGATCGATCACATATATCAAAATGGAAATTATTAATAAACCGAATTAGGAATAATAATCCAAAAAAATCGATAATTACGAATAATTGTAAATTAAAAATAACACTAATAATTCACATTGATATCAAAATAATAATTCTTTGAAATTCCAATCCCCACCCTGTTCTCTAATAAAGACAATCTACCAAAGCCGGAGTACCAACCAGCATCTGAGTTGTTACCGGAAATTGAAACTTAGCCTCCCGGATATCATCCTCCGGCGCCGGGAGGTTAAGATCCAACTGCAAGACGTTCCGCGGCGGAGAAACAGTGGTGGCCACGGCGATGACGGTGTTAGAACTTGATGTGTCAACAGTGTTGGTGTTTGTCGATGACCTATGCCTCCTCATGTGTCCACCCAATGCTTGTCCTGATGAGAATTCCGAACCGCAGATGGAACATTCATGAATCTTGACCTTGTTGTTGCCATGACCCAATTGAAGGGAAATCGGAGGACCATTTTTAACGTTATCCTCTTCGAACCGATCATAGGTTGTAACAGCCACGTGTGGCGATTGAGAGGGTGGTGGTTTTTTCTCTTCAGGCGAAAGTTTGGGCTTTTTGTGACTCGCCCTGTGTCCACCCAGTGCTTGAAACGAAGGGAACGTTCGGTTACACGTTTTGCACTCATAAATAAAGAAACCAACTTTGGTGTCAACTGCGGTTGTTGCGGCGGCGGCGGCGGTGGTGATGGTGTTACCTTTACCCTTTGCTGTCTTGACACCGTTATGATCTTCAACTCGTTGTTTGTGATGATGAGGTTGATGAGGGTGAGATTCCCCTCCTTGGGCCAAGAGAATCAAACAATTTGCCATGTCTTCTTCTTCGCTCTCATAAGTGGTGGTGGAGGAGCCACCGGAGTTAGGACTGGAGCAACTGGTGGTGGTGGTGGTGAGTCCAGTGGTGGCGGCGGTGGTAACAACGGCGACACCAGAAGGGGACAAAAGCCTCATCCTTTTGGTCCGTTTGCCCTTGGCTATGTTGCTCTGGGCAGAGCTAGAATAGGAATTGGAATTAGAATTAGAATCTAACCCTTCCATCTCCATAACCAAACTGAAACAACCTAAGTGATGAGAAACAAAGCCTCAACGCAGCAGTTTTATATGTAAAACAATGCTATTTAAGGTAAGAGAGAGAAATGTGATTACGATGTAGTGATGGAATTGAAGTGGTTATGTTATGTGGATATGTATATATATATATATATATGTATGTGTGTGTTGTGAAATTTGGTAGTGAATGGCAACAAAGAAGTTGAAGCCGTCTTATAACAGCTACACCCAAGTGGTCTGTCACCAAAATCTTCCTTGCGTTTCCAACCTTCGAAGTGTTACTAACAAGAAAACTAACTTCTTTCAGCTTTTTCACGCGCCTCTCTGAGCACTTCTTTCTACGCCTTCATCGTGACCACACTTTTTTGCTTTCTGTTTAACTTCTACTATTTTATAATAACATCAGCTCAGCCTCAGGGTGTTACTTTTCTGAAATAATATTTTATTTTATTATCCATAGGATACATTTTTATACCTATTTTTTCTGATAACAAAAGTAACTAACGAAATAAAAACTGAGACTGTTTTCTTTTTTAATTGTGTTTTGAGTATTTTTTTTTCTATTACTATAAAAATGTGAACGTAGCGTGTTAACTTGTGTTGTATGTTGTTATAAAATAATAATAATAAAGTTGCGAATGTCAATGCTTGTGTTGTATTATTCTTCCATGATTAAAATGGTTTTTATTTCGTAATTAATGGGGAGTTTAATTAGTGGGAGTGTAATTAATATATATAGTGTATAACTTAAAGTTGGGTTTACTAGTAAGTTAGGTTGGAATTAGAGAAGGAGATTGATGGATCTGATAAGTAAGTAACTTATAAAGTGGAAAAAGAAAAAAAAAAGTATGGAGGAGTTAAAGAAAGAAAGCGTGAAAGGTTGGCCTTAACGTTTGAGAATCGGTTTCAACGCTCTCTTTTGTTCACACCTTTAGGGCAACTATTTACACTAATCCCTTCAAGAAAAGTGAGATTGCATCACGTTAAAAGCATGTCAACTTTCACAATTTAGTTCTCTAATCTCTTCTGTCATTAAAGGAAAAATTACTAATCCAAGGGTAATCATCATTCAAGTGGCTTTCAAGCTGTGTGATTAAAGAAAAAATTATTAATCCAAATGTAATAATTATTTGAGTGTGTTTCAAACCGTTATAAAAAAATGACTTGGAGGTTTCATTTTATTAGATATAAGACAAATGTATAATTATTTTATATGTTACAAAATAATTTCATTTTTACTTTGAAATCAAAATATTTATATTTGAATTCTTAACAAAATAAATAATAGTTATGAATTTTATTTTATTTTTTGAGAAAAAGGGTATTTTATAATTAGTTAAGAATTAGGTATACTAATGTAGGGTTGGATTAATGATATGAAGTAAAGAAGAGACGGCATGATAAAAGAAGTATAGAACGTAAGAACTTTAGGAGATTTCCTACCAAAGGGTAGGGTTCCTCATAATTTCCTTTCGTTAAACTTCATCTTATGCTGAAAGCTTCATTGGTTAAACTTTAGAAGATCACCTGTCACAATAACAAATTATTGTTAAACATTTTAATGATTTCGTATTTGAGAGTTTTAGTTCAAAAATAATCATCAATGGTTTATATACAGTACATTAATTATAAACCAGTTTTTCTCCTCAGTTTTTACTCATTATGGAAAAAAATAAAATTATATTTACTTTACATTTATTGACTGGCAAAAAAGTTATAAATTTAATTTGTATCTGGTAGTGTTTTTTTTCTATAAATTTAATTGAAAGGAATTCACAGTGTCAACTTTTTTTTTTCCGACTGTCCTTGGTTGGTCATCTACATTAAATTTTGATCGTTTTCGTGATAATTAATCTAAAAATTACGTGTGGAATGATTTTTAATTTATGAACATGATGTAAAATTCCTTAAAAGCAATTCAATTGTAAAACTATACTTAGCAATTATGAAATAAATTTATATTTTATATTTAATTTTCATGTGCTAACTTTATTGACTTTTATGATAATTATTTTAAACTTTATTTATAACTATATCTAATTGATGATTTAATGAATTGCCGAATTTTTTGTATACGGCTAAGGTACTAAAATCAGACTCTTAACTTAATTATTCATTTAATTTTTATTGTTGTACAAAATTGTCTTTTACTTTTTATGCTTAAATATTCATTTTGGTTTTACAAATGCTAATTAAATTTAATTTTATTTCTTTATATATATTTTAGCAATATGTACAGGTTTTAGTAGAAAAAAATGCTCTCATATATTATGAATTTTAAGTTTTAAGGTTAAGGGTATTTGAATAATTTTCATTCTCAAAAGTAAAAAAAAAAAACAAGAAACCCTCAAACCCTTACTCACCTCTCTCGTTCCTCTCAACCATTTCTCTTTCATCTTTCTCACTCCAACCTTTTCTTTGTAATCCATACGGTACCCCAACGAAGAAAATCAGAAACACTTTGTCTAATCCTAATCCACCTTTCTCACTTATCCTATTTGTTTCTCTCTCATCTCCAGACTCTATTTTACTCACACACAGCAACCCGTGACACCACAATTTGTTGTTCTTTTTATATTCCTTCATTTGTTTTCCACTTTAATAACAAAATAAGTGATGATGTTGATGTTGATTTTTGATTGAAGGGTTGTGTTATATCTTTTCCCTTCCGATTGTTATTAAATTTCGTTTTTAAATTTTAGAATTAGTAGTTTATCTCTAGGGAGATTTGATATTTTGACTATTAAGTTGTCTGAAAATATTTTCCAAAAAAGAAAAATTGTTATATGAAAAGGGATTTTGGAAGGGGTAGGTCATTATCCAGAAAATGGAATATACTTTTCACCTTCCTACATATAACCAACGTCCAAACATAGCAAAAAAATGAAGCTCCTTCACATCGTATTAAATTATTTAACCAGAACAAATTATTGAAGAGAATTATGAACAGAGAAAATTGTTGTTGTTGACTATGTCCCCTTATTCAGAAAAGAGATCATTGCTCGTTCCCTCCCGAATGTTTCATATTGATAAGTATATTTTCATTTCATTTTTGTAAAAAGAATAAAAATATTCTAACAAATTACACATCTTCTAGATTTGAGTAGATTGTAGAATATTGAGTAGTTTTCAAGAGGAACTGCATTGATATAACAACTAATTAAAAATCAACCAGAAATTGGTAAACTAGTCATAATGAACTTGTTAGGTCTTAGTTGGACCAAAAAATTACATTTCAAAGTAAATCACATCATTTAAGTTTATTTTAAACAATTCACATCTCCAACTTGTTTGGTCATTATAAACATGATGTTGTCATTTTGATTTATCATTTGCTGCAGAAGTGAAATTAAGAAAAACAAAACGCACTGAATTTCAAATTAGAATTTAAACTTAATAATTTTGTTACCATCACGCTCATAGTTTAACTTCTACTCTTTCATTTCTATGATTTTATCAAAATTATAAACATGATGTTGTCATTCTGATTTATCATTTGTCGCAGAAGTAAAATTAAGAAAAACAAAATCATATATATTTCAAATTGGAATTTGATCATAATAAATTTGTTACCAATCACGCTCATAGTCTAACTTCTACTCCTTTCATTTCTATGATTTTATCAAAATTGGTATTAAGAAACTAAATGCTTTGCAAATATTATGGGTTTATGCTAACGTCTTTTCGTAAGGTTTCTTGCTTTTTTTTTAGTTATGAAAATTTTGAAATTATTGTAGATTTTAGTTTTTTACAAATTTAATTATAGGGAAAAGATATAACACAACCCTTCAATAAAAAATCAACATCAACATCATCAATAATTTTGTTATTAAATTGAAAAACAAATGAACCAATAAAGTAAAAGCAACAAATTGCGGTGTCGTGGGTTACTGTGTTTGGATGTGAGAGAGGATGAAGATGAGAGAGAAACATACATACATATATATACATATATATACATATATATATATATATATATATATATATATATGTATATATATATATGTATACATATATATATATATACATATATATATATATATATATGTATATACATATATATATATATATATATATATATGAACGTTGAAAGGAATATATTTTAATGATTTTGAATATTATAGTTTTTTTTCTACAGCATATTCTATTATTAAAAAAATATAGGGTTAAATATGTTTTTAGTCTCTAAACTAACCGTTTCTGGTTTTCGTCCATCTTTCAAAATAAGGTACAATTTGGTCCTCATTCTTTTCGAAACTCTAGTTTTAGTCCTCGAAACTTTGGTTTTAGTCCTCGAAACTTTGGTTTTAGTCCTCGAAAACTACCACATTTTTAACGGTGTTAGTTTTCGAGGACTAAAACCAAAATTTTCAAAAGAATGAGGACTACATTGTACCTTATTTTGAAAGATGGACGAAAACCAGAAAC